CGAAGAATGCACCCCCTTGAGGGATTGCCACCCTGGCAAGAAGGTGTTGGGGTGGCATTAGCCCAGCAACTCTCTCCGTTCAGAGGCTCACACACTGTGAGGAAGTCACCCCATGACAAGCATGACAGCCAGCATCCCACACCTGGCTCTCAGCTGCCTTTGAAAGTGAGATGAAGTGGTCACAGCCCCAGGTTCGTTAGTGGGATGCCTTGTTAAGGCAGAGGGTATGTCCATTTTTGCAGCTGTCCTTAACCATAACCTTGTGAGCTGTAAAGCCACCAAATTATTAAACCGTGTCCAAAGCATATAAATAGGGATATTGATGTTCTAGAGTAATTTTAACATTACAGATAAAGCTGTGGGAAATGCCTGTCAGCATCCAGAGCTCTGACACATCTGCCCAACCATGAGCAGCAGAGGACCCCCATGCCCTCCAAATGCCACCCTCCAAACAAACATCTGGGCGTTCACTAGGAAGCTGCCATGATCTAAAGAAACATTGCTGACAAAAGACAATTCCACTTGTCCAAACTGTGCTCAGGCACCAGACAGGTCTGGCAGCAGCATGGACTGACACAGACACTGCCAGGACACCAACTTTTACCTCTGCATCCCCCATCCTTCTCCTCAAAGCCAGGGCTGCACATGCACTTCCCTACAGGGACCAGCCACTCGCCCTCTGCGCTGCAGTGCATCCGAGGGGGATTGTCCACATCCAATTCAGCATGGGACACACAAGTGCCCTTAACTTCCACCAAGGTCACAAAGGCCGTCTCTGCCACCGTGTCTGGGAACATGGCCAAGTTCTGCACGGTGGTGAGACACTTCTTGTAATAGACCCGCACAGAGACCAGCGCCACACAGGCGCCCACGTCCTGGAAGCCCAGGTGGAAGCCTCTCTTGCTCAGGTGCCCAATCTCCCTCAGCTCGGTGTTCAGCTTCATCTTGCGCTCGCCCAGGTCTCCCTGTGTGAAGCTCTCATCAGCAGCAATGGTGTCAATCTTGGTGTGCTTGCTCTCATGGACACTCCGGCCCAGGTCAGAGTCAGACTCGACATAGTACAAGTTGAAAGTCTCCTTGCAAGTGCTCGTCACACCAGGGATGCTGTTGCAGTCCCGCAGGGTGAACTTTAGCTCAATGAAGATCCTCTGGCCGTCACGCCTGGCGATCCAGCCCGTCTGCAGCCAGTTGTTCTGGTTCGGCTCCATGACATTGCACACCTGGTACGTGCGTATTGGCTTGTAGGTCTCATCCACGCCACTGATCTCTTCCCACTGGGGACAGAACACAAAGGGCTGTAACACACCAACCAGTATAAATGTCACTAGCACAAGCCTCCCCACCACAGGCCATTGTGTTCTAGGTACTGGAAGTCCTCAGCCCACCAAACCCACCAGCTGCAGTGACCCTGCTCCTGGAGCACCCAACACCTGAGCTCTCTGCAGAGGTGCAAATGTGAAGATGCAACTAGTAAGGCAGCACCTGCAGCAGATCTCAGAAAACGAGCGCTGATTCTGGACACATCCTCTGCTGAGGAGCCAGAGCCTTCATCTCCCACACGCTCCTCAGATTTTCTGTTCCTGGGAGGGTGCATGCACACAGTGTTACCACATGGTAACATGGATGGGGTTGGGCCACCCAGAGAAATCCAAGATGTCTAAGGAGATGTGACACCAGACACACCATTACACAAGGACATCAAACTCCTTCATGAACAGCAGCAGCTTCTCTGCCAGGAGAAGTTTTAGCTGCAGCAGGACAAATCGTCCAACTGCAAGTGAAACAGTGTTTCCCCAAAGCTATCAGCAGAGATTCTGATCAGTGAAATGATGATTCAACCCTCACAGCCTGAGTGACAACCTGGCAATTTCCCAAAGCAATTCCTTCTGGGGATAAACTTATGCAAAAAAGTCAAAACATACACAGAACAGAGTTTGTTCTGCAAACAAACAGTTGTGTCACACAAGTGACTCCAGGACCTACTGCTCTTCCCTCTGAGCACTTTGTTTCCACTCAGGAAAATGAACCCAAAGCTGCAAGGAGCACAGCTCCAAGCTCACTGAAAGTGGCTTTAGATGGATACCAGCAGCAAAGCGCGGGGCTGATGGAACAAAGGTTACATGACACAGCTCCCAGTGACTTCCCCAGCCACAACCCTCGGATTCTAAGGGCTTGACTGACCCTTGGTGCTGGTGTGCAAACCACAACACAAAGCCTTAACTAGCCAGTGTTTATTGGCTTGTTTTGGTAGTGTAAAATCCATTTTGAGGAGGGCCAGTCATGGCGCTCACACAACCTCACCCCTCGCTCTGCTCCCAGGGGCTGCTGGAACTGATCATGCCAAGCTCCATTGACCTTGAACGAGGAGGTTCCTGTGGCTGCCAGCCCCCAGCCCCGCTCTGTGGTGAGTGAAGCACACATACCACAGGATGTCAGACTCTGCTGAGCACCGAGAGGCTGGTGGAGCCTTTCACCCTCTCCGGTGGTGCAGAGGGACAGTCCCACCCCATGCTTACCCCGTTCGATGGGTGTGAGGTCCAGCCCAGCTCTGCCTGCGATTCCTTTGAGTCCAGCAGGACAACTGCAGGGAAGACAGCACGTTAGGAAAACCACTGGCACAGGAAATGCTGGTAAAACCCACCCAGCCCATGCTCTGGGAAGCTTAGTGCCATGCTGTGCCAGGTGCCAGGGTGCGGGAGCAGCTCCCAGCCCGGCTCCACCAGCCATGGCATCACCGTGTGAGCACCAAGAGCCACCACGCTCTCGCTGCACACCCAGAACAACCTCACAGATACCTGATCAATGCCCTAACGACTGTGTCATCCCAGGGACGATTCCTCGGACACCACTCACAACACTGCCACTGAACCATGCCCACAGCGTGCGGATGCTGGAACGGAAAGGTACCAGCAGCTGCTTTGAAAGAGGGATTTTCCCTGGCAAACGACAGCGTTTTCCCACAAACAGCCAATTCTATCTTTGACAGGAAGAGCTATTTCCCTCAGTCCACAGCTTCACGATCCTTCCACAGCCAGCAAACAGCCACAGCCCCGGCCGGCAGGTTGAGCCTCGGGCTCAGACACCGGGAGCAAGGGGCGCGGCGGCGCATCCCCGGCGGGCACAGCCCTGACGGTCGCTCTGCTCCGGGATCAGTGGGGTCCGTCCGTGCCAGCGAAACCTCCGCGACCACGGACCCCAGCGCTGGAACCGCTCCCCGTCACGGTACCGGCAGCGCGCTGCCCTGTGCCTCCGCTGATCGCGGGNAGCGATATGGGGGCCGCTGGAACTTCTGCTCAGGGCACGGACAACCCTCGCTGATGCCGAGATGCTGCGGCCGTAATGAGCAGTGCTTTGCCACCGCCGTGCCCAGCTGATGTTTGCTGCTGATAGCAGTGTTGGGTTGGAGCGGTTAGAGCCTCCTTAGCGGAGCAGGTCTCGTCCCTGCCCTGGCCTGGCCTGGCAGCGATGCCCAGGAATGTCGGTTTTGTCGAGCCCTATGTCCTGCCTTTCTGGGTTGAAATTTTACTCCCGGCTTCATGTCGAGGTCCTTCAAGCCCAGCAGCTGCTGTGAAAGCAAAAATGCCCAGACAGAAAGGCCAGGCAAAGGCAGCCGCAGGCAGGGTGAGTCCTGCCAGGCCCGCACCCAGGACAGTGCTGTGGCTGTGGGGGCTGCCTGCGCTGGAGGAGGCAATTCTTCAATTCTTGGCTCACCAAAGCCGAGGTATTTGCCACCAGGCCCACAGCCTTCTGCATCGGGGGAGGAACTCAACGAGGTTTGATTATTACTAATTGTAGGTGTTGCAGGTTGCTGCAAAGTTTAGTCAGGCTGAATGCCCGCCGGCTTTCCCCCCGATGGCAGATACTGTGATACCAAAGCAAACATTTGTTCCTGTGGGATGTTCCTTTTGCTGTGATTATGTGTCAAATGTCAAATATTGCAGGTGTGAAGTAAAAGCATTGAGCCTCCATCTGGCCAGGCTAGGGTAGCCCATGCCAAACCCCTGCTCACAGGAGCTGGTGCTCGGACCTCAGGCTGAGCCCAGCTGGACATTTGGAACAAGAAAATGTTTCCAGTTCTCCGTTTCTCAATTCTTTTGCAAACATGGTCATTTCCTTTCCTCTCTGTGTTAACTGGTGAGGAAGCTCCAATCCATTTATTAATGTTCTTCCCACCTAGGAAAGCTCAGCGTGGATCAGTGCTTCATATGCTGCTGCATCAGCACTGGAGCCCCTCCTGCCATGCACCTGCAGCGCAGGAGCTCCCAGTGAGACCAGGAACAGCCATGCTGACTGGGGGCATGAGTTCATACAGTCAAAACCCTCCTCCCATCGTGTTACAGAGCAGGGAAGCAAAAGACAGGGTTTATTTATAATCTTCCTCAAGTGGAAACCAAAAGAAGTGACCCGTTATTACTTAAGATTTCTCAAGCCACCCAGGAAGAAAAGTGATATTTAGTTGTCGTTAAAGGCTCAGAACTGCATAACAATTTCATGCTATGTTAACTTCCACGTTTTCTTTCGCATATAAATTTTTAAGGAGCAAAATAGAAAAACCCAGGCACTTGACCTTTAATCACAGTTATTTGTGTGATCAGTCAGGTGTGGGAAAAAGCTAGTTTGTGCTTGAAAGATGCCCTTTAAAGCCAGATTGCTCTAACATGACACACAACTCTCACAGTGTAATATATGGGATCTCGCTTGCCTGCCTCCAGGCACAGCAGCCTCCTTTTCATACTCATGCACTGGGTCTCACTGCTGGGACAGTGGAAGGTATCAATGTCATGAAGCAAATCAATCCAGACCCCTGGGACAGCTCCATTCACCACCAAGCTCCACAGGCATGTGCACTTCCTGTCACAGAGGAGCCAAGCAGGGAAGAGGACTTTGGAAGTATGTGGAGAATTTGATGTTAGATATGTTTTACTAGAAGAAAAGTCTGTCATGTTAAAAGCACACAGCTTTTCCATTTATCTGAAATATTATTCCAAGCACTTATAAAATCTTGGTATTAGAACAGCCAGGGATATTTTAATTAAGATTTTAAGTATCATGCTTTGGGAAAATGATCTCATGAATTTTGTTTCAGCAACAGCAGATGAAAAGTTACTGCTGGTGTGAAGAAAATAGAAACAGAGCAGCCTTTAATGGACACTAGGATTTCTTCAGGAGCCCAAAGCCACACCAGGGACAGGATGGAGGGATACTGTCCCCGGGATGGCACTGCCCACCAGCTCCTTGAGTGGCACAACAAGGGGCCAGTATCTGCAGGCGGAGGAAGAGGAGTATGCAGGCTGTCTGGTCACCTCTGCTGCTCACATCCAGCTCTGGGGCTGTTGCCCTTCCCAACTCCTGTCTGGAACCTGCAGAGACAAGATCAAAGGGAAAGCAAAGACATCGGGTCAGCCAGGCTCCACATTGTCAGGGGAACTTGTGCAAAGAGCGGGGCTAGCCCAGAAAAACATGTAATTGGCCGAGCTGAGCTATTACCTGCTGTAAGTGGAGACAGAAAGATAGTTTTGACACCACAGTGAAAATAACCCTCCTGGAAAAAAAAAAAAAAATCAATACAAACACCAAGGAAAGAGAATCAGAAACTGAGACCATCAATTCCTGAAATAAAGAGTTGAAAGTCTCAGTGGGAGGACAGCCAGATCTGTACTGAAAAACAAAACTTTACTTCTTTTGCTGACAAATTACTTTTTATGCTAAAGGACAAAGGAGCCAAGGGGATGCAGGCCTCGATGTACAACTGAAAGAGCAATCCTTGACAAAAGATGGAGCAGGCAAAAACTTCATGGAAGCTTTTGCACTTCTCCTTTCTCTTCCACACTTGCAAATACTTTTGTACAATGAAAAACAAAGGATTTCTGCAATTTCGTACTGGTTTTGGCATGTTACACAAATGCTCCAGGATTTCTATGTCTTCTGCTGTGACAAGAGCAGAGTCAGAGCAGAGGAAGCAGCAGCAATACAGCACAAGTATTCCTGGCATTAGGGAATATCCCACAGAGGAAAGTGGCTCAGACAATCCGGTCCCAAGGGCACCTCACCAGTCTGCCACGCCCAGCTGATCCCAGGCCTCAGACACTGCTTCCCAGGGGCACAACGCTCCATCACAGCCAGTGCTGGCCCATCCCTACTCATCCCCTCCTGCTAGCTGGCAGAAATCACAGTGAAAATGAAAGTTAATGTAAAGCTCCCCCATAAATCTCATGCTCAAAGCTGCACAGCCCAGCATCTGGGTTGCAAGGGGAAAACCCTTCTGCCTTCTGAGTTGTTTGTCTGCAAATACAAAGGAACCAGAGCTGTGCACTTGTTTTAACAGCTCTGTCTTTCTGTCAGATCTGTATTCTTTGCCTCACGATGTCTGCACTGTAAGTGTTTTGCAGCAGTTCTTTAGCTTTTAAGGTAATCACATAAAAGACCCTTGACTCCATAAACACAGCTAATCTGGGTAAATGCCTTTAAGCATCTTTACATTTCTTGCTAATGGATTTCCAGACAACCCACAGATATCCACGCTCTAGAAAATAATGTAAAATAGAGTGTCTAATTTTTTAAATGCCTCACATTCATCATATACTGAGAAAATCCAGAGCTCCAGGCAGCATAATACCATCACACTTATGTAAGTCATCCCCCGTTCTGTCATCATCAGCATGAACCCCACCTTTGGCTGGGGCACAAATCCACTCGGTGTCAAGTTCCAATTCAACCAGAGACAAATTACCACACGCTGTTAATTAGAGCTAGACAGGAGGGATCCAAGTGTCAGAGTCTGGTGACAGAGACTGAAGGGCACATGGAGGCTCTGAGCACTGAGTTCAGGAGTTGTGTGTGGGATCTGCTGCCCCTGGGAGCAGTGGGAAGGCTCGTGGAGGAGGCAGGTCCTGCCCCTGAGAGATGCTTTGCTGGTGGTGCTGAGCAGAGGGCAGGATGCCAGCACCCCACAGGCTTCTTGCCCCTCAGTCTGCCCCTGTGGCTTCACTTGCTCTGCTTGAAAGGCTGAGGTGCAGAGTGATAGCTCAAGTGGGTGAACCTCTCAGAACTGAGGGAGAAATGAGGATGTACCTCAAGTATAATGGTGCAAACAACCACTAACATGATTTTGATACCAATCACAGTAATTTGAACAAAGGAGTTGTCCTACCTTTGATTTGCTCTCCTTCTCCTCCTGGCTGGTTTCATTAAAGCCATTTATAGAGATTTGCAGCAGTCCTGTTTGAAGTGCTGTTGTCAGGATTTTTATTTTCAGTCACATCAGAAATTGTCTTACAGCAGGCTGGTTATGTTTCACAAAAGGATCTGTAACATGTGGCCATCACTCACTGTCAGAGGTGTTTTAGACAGGCTTGTCCTTCTGGTCGTGTGGCTTCTGATGTGAGTGTCCAGCACTGAGTGCCAGGGAAGAAGCTCCAGAGTGGCCACAGCAAGGGCCAGTGCCTGCCCTGGTGCCAGGTTTCCTCCACAGCTTGAGCACCTCCCAGGCCTCCCTCAGCAGCTCCCAAGCTGCACTGCACTGAATCTGCAACCCAAATCTTGGTAAATTTGAAGTGTGTGCCAGTCTGGTTCACACTGCTCCTAAGGAGAGCATCCCTGTTCAGCCTAAAGGGGGACCACAAAGTGCCAGTGCACCTTGGGCCTGGATTCCCCAGTTTTATGGTGTTTCCTCTATTAAGAGCTTTTTCATGTTTATATCTATGTGCTGATCACCATTTAAAATGCATTCCCAAGATTTCTAATTTTCCTGGCCCCTCAATAACGTGTCAGTAAATGCCCCTCAACAACAACAAGGGCACTGAATTGCTGTGGATTTCCATGGAGTGATGCTGGTCTGGCTCTTTCTCATCAGGCAAATCAGAAGTGCAACTTGTATGACACACAGATGAGGAAAGACACTTCAGGACTCACTTGGTAACTCAATCACCACAAGACATTCATCAATTATCTCCCCGTCACGGGGTGAGGGTGGCAGGGAGGTCATGCCAAGTGAGTCTTTTTCATTTGTCCGTGACAGAAGAAGGGAATACACTTTGCAAATTATAATTAGCAATTTAATCCAGCTGTGGCTAATTCATAGCTGCATTTTACACTCCAGGACTCAGCACTTGGGCAGACTCTAAATAAGGCACCACCATAGTGTGTCCAGCTCCCTGAAAGCTCTCCAGTAATTACTGATTGCTCACTGCTCAGCAGAGAGCAGGACAGCCTTCCATGCCTGCAGGTGCCTCTGCTCCTCCTGCCACCCTGCCAGGGTGAGAAGCAGCCCTGGAGAGAGAGAGAAGAGAGAGAGAGAGAGAAGAGAGACTGCCAGCCAGCTGCCAGACACACCATCCCCCAAGATACCTGCCACAGAGATCCTGCCAGCCCCAGCCTGAGGATGGAGAGAGGGATCCTCACATCCCAGCCCTGCTCCCATCCCGGCTCAGTGGTAGAAGGGGTCTGGGGAAAGGGCTGCAGCTCAGGGAAGCAATAAATTCTGCTGCATTCTAATGGGACACTCCGGGCCCAGAAAAGAAATTGGCATATAGGTTCACAAAAATCCTGCTTGAATAAACAGAAAGGGAGGGAATGCTGGAGAGAGCATCCAATCTGCATCATAATTAGGGAAAAAAATAACAAATGGCAGAAACAACCTGTTCCCATCTGCAGCTGCAGTTTGTTCCTGCTGTATTGAACAGGCAGGCACCAAGCCTACCAGGAACCTTCTCTGGAAATGTATGAGTGTTTCATGCAATAAGAATGGGAAAAGAGCCTCTTTTTATGTGTACTGCAGAATCTGCTGCAATGAAGCATCAGAGAGGATTTTGTCGACCAGACACTGCTGTCTCCAGTCTGGTACCAGAAGTGTGGGGCTCACCCCTGGAAGAGTCTCCTTGAAGAGAGCCCATATGGGGTCAACAATTAGGCTCCAGATCTGGGGGTCATCCTGGCATGGGGCTGGGCCTCTGTCCCATGCAGTGGCTCAGGTCACTGTCACATTTGGCTACCCAGAGCAGGAAGGTGCTCTTCTCAGTGCATGCATTTCGGACATTATTCAATCCCAGACTGACTAATTTATCCATAAACCTTCCTAATGAGTCTGATAGTGTAGGAATGAGAGAAAGCAGCATTGTTATCTGTAAACAGCAGCAGCTGACAGCATGTTTAATCACAGGCTGCATAACAGTGACATGGGTGGAGAAGAGGATTAGACACTTCTCCAATTAGTCACACAGCAAAGGCACGGACACCGAGCCTGAGGGTCACTGAACCCAAAATGAAGAGCAACAAATACAGGAGCTGGGGAGTCCCAGTGGAGGCACTTAGAGCCAGGGGCGGGCTATGCTGGAGCCCTCCCCAAAACCCTGAGGGCAGCCAGCATTCGAGGAGAGCCCTGGCACCGCTGCAGAGCCAAAGCCACCACTAATACCACAGGCTCTGCACTGCCTCGAGATCTGCAGGCTGCCTGTGCCTAACAGGATTTTGCAATCCATGGCGAACATGCTAATGGGATAGAGAGGTAAAGAGTTCATCCTACTCACTTTTCTCTGCTTCTTTTCTTTTTTTCTGAGCATCTCTCTCCTAGTTTTCTCTGGCTCATCTCTTTCTGAGGTCTGCAGATTAAAAGCATTAATATGAGCCAGAAGTTATTATGTGAATCGTACTTATCACCAAGTAAATGGGATCTAGTGGGCTGCAGCCCTGGAAGCCACAGCTATTGGTTAACAAGGAGTGTTGTCAAGGCCTTCAGGATTTTCTTTCCCCAGCCCCCAAGTTTGGAGGATGTGGCTCACAGGACTGGGGGGAGCACAGGGAGAAGGGAATAGAGCTGTGGGAGCTGCTGCTGATGTGCCACTGCAGGAAAGGGAGCAGTGATGATGTGAATAGTACATTGGTGGGGGCCAGAGGCTCTGCACAAACTGTGGGCAGGTGCTGGTTGTGCCAGGCACAGGCAGGAAAGAACAGCTCTGGCACCAACATAGCAGGGGCTACAGCATTGTTGCTGCTGCCACCTCTGCTTCCACAGCAGGCAGGGTTTAGTATGTGCCCTCTGTTCTTCCTGAGTCCAAATCTTGGGTTAAACCCAAGCAGCTGCTCCGTGGTGAAGTCCAGGTGTTTTGATTTATCTCTGAGAGATCTCATTATCAGCCACAGCAGCAGACTCTGACCTTTCATGGCAGGGCCCCTTTGAATTTACTTTCTGCCCCAAGGTACAAGAGGAACCATGAGAAATCAATTTTCTTTCCTCCAAGACCCCCTAGTTTTCAAGAACTTTTAAAGGGCAGATAAACTATAACTGGGACATCTTCTACCTTTAAGAAGGTCCTTCATCATATTAGATTCTGATTAATCAGCCTCCTACTCTCCTGTCACTTTCACAGTGGAGAGCACTGGAGACCTCCCACCAGCCCCTCTCTGCAGAGGGAGAGGGAGGAAGACAAAGAGAGGGAAAGGGAGAAGGAGAGGAAGACAGAGACTTCCACAGCCACCTGTGGGGAAGGCTCAGTCCCTGTGCTCAGTTGCCCTTCTGCTCCAGCTCCGTTAGCAGGGAGATGCAGCACTGTGCCGGGTGCTGGACCCTCCCTGGGCACTGCCTGTTGCCAGTTCCTGCTCAGTTGGTGCCACTGGCTGCCCTGTGGCTGCCTCCAAGCTTTGAGACATTTCCTGGGGCTGCAAACCCTGAGACTACCTGACTTGCCCAACCAGTAGCCAGGCCCTTAGCACAATCACCAGGCTCACAGAGGAGCCTGACACTGAAGGTGCTCATCCCAGCCCAGGCCTCATTCAGGAGGTGTGGGGGCCCTGCAGGCTCTGAGTGGCAGCAGGCAGCCTCCTCTGCCTGCCAGATAACATACATAATTCAGGTGAAATATTCATTTAAGACTGTCTGAGCCATGGCAATAACCTAGACATTATGACAATACAGATCAATAAGCCCAGAGAGGATCCTTCACTGAAACATGCTGCAATTGTTCAAACCAAGTCTTAATTGTGACAAGAATTGATTTCTCTTTTCTAATATTCCTGACTTTTAATTAAAAAGTAGTTAAGTAGACAATGCATTTCCAGGATCATTTAGAGGCAGGGCAATATCAAGGAGCACACACTTAAAATGCAGAAGTGGTGCTTTGTTAATACAATGAGACCAACCTGGGGAGTTGCTCTGTGCAAGTCAGAGATGCCCATGGCTGAGTAGGGTCAGGGACACCAGGACCCCCAGACCAGCAACCACAGCCAGTGCTTCATCCTGGCCTCAGCAGAGACATGGGCACGTCCCCACTTGTTCTCTCCTGCTCCCCAGAGTCCTCCAGCCATCTGCATTTCACACCCTCTTGCACACACCAGTGCATCTAATAGCTCTGATTACCCAGCAGACTCCAGCACTTTGCTTTGCCCTTGTTCACAGCACATGGCAGAGGCTGGCAGGGAGGGCAGGACCAGGCAGGGAGGGCAGGACAGCTCCCACTGCATGAGGGGAGGGCAGTCACTGCAGGTCCAGCTGCCCCAGGAGCTCAGTGGGATGAGCACAGCCCCAGCACAGCCTTCCCCCTACTCTCTGTGTGCTTCTTGGGATGGTCCCAGGATGTGCCCAGAGCCCAAAAGGGGCTGGTAACAGGGAGTGCTGAAGCCCCTGTGAAGGGAGGGGGTGAACTCCTCCAGCCTTTATTTTTTATTTCCTGGCAGTGTCTCAGTGGCAGCAGCACAGCACAATGAGAGTGCAAGGAGCCAGCTGTGAACCAGATATTTCTCAATCATCCTCCATTAGAGTAAAATAGGCCAAAACACCTTAATCTGATTGGAGGGAGACCATTAACATCAGAGACTCCATTAAAAGAAGAAATGGCCTTTCATCTACTAATCAAGAATCATAAAGGAAAACACTTTGGAAGATACCCATAAATGCTCATGAGAAGGAAGGGGCTGCACACCCCCTGGTCTGAGTTCCCCACGTACAGCTCCTCCTCTGTATTGATGAACCCACCTGCAGAGTCTTGCTAAAGGCCAGCAGTGGTGGAATTTGGAGCAGCAGCCCAAAGCAGGGAGAGGTCCAAGTTCCAGAGATCTTGTCTCTGCATTGAAAGGGGCTGGAATAGCTTTTGGCCATTCTCACAGAACATGTCTGGTATTTACTCTGCTGGTGGGTATCTAAGTGGTCAGACACTGCAGCAAATCCTGTTTCCCTGGGTCTGATTAGATTAGGGAGCAGCGGTGCTGGAGTGCTTGCTGATATTGCCAGGAAAGGAGAGCAAAGACTGGAGAAGATTCTCAGAAACATTCCTACCCACTGTCCCCCCCACCCCAGCCCTTGCTCATGCCAATCAGAGATGCAGAAGCATCACCCTTGCAAACACAGCCCATTTATTTATATCCCTTGACTCATCAAATAAAAGTCAAACCACAAACAGTGAGAAATGGTATCCTGGCTCTTTGAGCCCCCCAGCAGCCACACAATGCTGCATCCCTGCCAAAAGCCACCATCTGCTTGCCCCTAAAACGCCTTTCCTAGAAAGGGTAAATCCAGCAATCAAGTGCTGAGCAGCCCCAGAGGGAAGGACAGGACGGGCTGGCAGTGCCACTGTCTCAAGGAGGACAAGTGGGACAAGTTCCTTGAAGAATCTGTGGGGCTATAATACCTTTTCATGCTGTTAAGATTTCAATTCATCCAGCTTTGTTACCTTGGGTTGTTTTATTCTCTAAATCAAACAGCCCCCATAATGATAAAACCCTTCATTAACACCGCTGGGTTCTTGCCTAAAACAACAGCCCTTGATCTCCTGCCTGTTAGTTTGATTTTGCTGTCACTTGGGACAGGATTAAAGAGAAATAACCCTACTAATTCTTCCAGTATCCTTCAGCAAACATCAGCTTGGACCAAAGAGGACACAGGATGCCACTGTTAGTAATTCTAAAGAAGCTCTTCCCTTGCAGATGGCTGGGGACCCTTGATGCCCCCCCCAGGCTTTGAGATACCACAGGCCTGGAACAGCTGCCAGCCAGCACCACACTCAGGCACTTAAGCAGCCTCTCTTCTTAACAGGGGTTTTTCATCCCTGTTCAAGCCCTTTGCAGAGGTGCTGCATGGAGCACACACAAAGGAGCTGATGTACAATTTGTAACTCTTCTTGCTCAGACAGAAATTAGCATTTTGCCTTTGAAGGGAGGAGGCAGTGCTACCTTGTGCTGCAGGGCTGGGAGCCAGCAGGACCTGTCCCCACCACATCAGCAGATGGTCTCTCCTGCCACAATCCCTCCCAGCACCTCTCTCAGCCATGGCTGTGCCAGGGAACAGGACTGAGCCCTTGCCACAGGAAGCCTGAAGGCCCTTGAGCTGCCATCCTCACTCTCAGCTCAGCTCACTGTGTTTTGTTTCGGCCAGCTTGTCTCATCTCTGCCTGCCACAGGTGCAGTTCAGATCAATCCTCTCAGAGCTGGCCTGTCTGGATCACCTGCTGAGAAACCCGTGGGACATTTTATCCCACTTCCCATTTACTGCTGGCTTTTTGGAGCTGTTCATCATCCAGCTAGCTCAAGTGTTGAAGCATCACAGTGACCTTTCCCAAACAAGCCAGAATTTTCCAGCCAGACACCTCTGGCTTTGTGTCAAGTTCCAGTTCCCCAGCCAGCAAGTCCCAGTGCCTGGCAGTCAGTACATTCACATCCAGTTATTAAGCTCACATCAGCTGTCAGGCCATTGTTGCAGTGCCAGGATGGCTGTGGGCAGTGCTGACAGCTCCCCAGGGTTACTCCCTGCCTGCAGAAAGGTTTACATCTCCAGAAGGGAATGTGCCAGTCAGTCTGCGATGGTTTCCCATCCATTCCCATCTGATAGGAAGGCATAAGGAGCATTGCCTCTGTTTTTACTGGCACAGACATAACTAACATGGGCCACGTGGAGCCCTGTAGCACCATGACCAGAGCTGAGGAAGCAGCCTGACCCCTGCACTCCCTCTAGGGCTGTGGTCTGTGTTTTTTTCCTCCTGTAACTCTCTGTTCCTGACCTCGCAACTGTTAACTCTCAGAATCCGACCTTAAGCCTTGCTAAATGAATTTCCCCTCTGTGTTACTCTAAGGGCTGTGCAATGCCAGGAATGATGCTCAATCCAGGCGTGCTGGAGGAGCACGGGGTCTCAGCAGGGCACAGCTGCACAGGACTGGAGACTGCCAGCAGCACAGATCCACACCACCTTATACTTCTGCCTTCCTGCAGAATAGAGCCACGGCAGAAACCTCAACGAGTTCTGCGGGCTGGGAAGCAGCGAGGTCCAAAGCTGGAGCCCAGTACTGTGCAGAGGCCACAGGAAGGAGCTGGGCAGAGCTGGGCCACCAGCACGTTCCACAGGCTGTGGCTGGGCCAAGGTGGGCAGGGCAGGCACAGCACAGCAGCCTGGTGAGACTGTTCTGTGGACCATCACAGTACTCATGATGTCACTGGAGGGAAGCATGAGCCTTCAGGTGCCATGCAGACTTCAGAGAGCAGTGAAGTAATTGAGTATTGACTGAGATGTCCCAGGTGAGCCCTGGATGCACATTACATTCTGCTTGACTCAATAATTACAATTTAGATTATCCCTTCCCACACTCTGTTAAGCTAAAAGTCTGTAATTAGCTACTTGGTTTAAGTGTAAGGTCTTAATTAATTCATATTATGAAGTACAGTTGCTTCTTAAAGATAACGTAACACGTTCTATCACACTGTAATGCTTTAACCAAAATACAAGCTGGTCCCAGTGAGTGAGCAAAGGTCCTACAAATCAGGCACTGGGATGCAAAAATTCCTCTGCAAAGCCAAAAGGAAGCAACAAATGCACAAATGATTCAGTACAACCCCTCTTAGAGCTGTTTCTGCTCTGAGCCCCAGGAGGACATGCCAGGCTGCAGGTCCTGCACCATTCCAAGTCCACCAGTAGCACCTCAAATGCACTTAACTGCTGATTTATCTTTGATTCCATTTAATTTAGTTGTTAGAAGAGTTTCAGTTTAGGATTTGATGTATTTATGAAAAAGTTTCTGCACAGCACATCAGCCCAGGGTGGTTTCCGACCAGACAAGTTCTCTCACCATATTATAACAACTCTGAGACACTCACACAAATGCAAAATCCCTAAAGCTTCCCAAACAAACATCAGCCAGACAGAGACTTAGAGAAAAACCTTGCAAAAGGCACAATAAATTACTGAACTTTTGGCACTGGGCTGAATTAAAATGATGAACTGAAGTTTTTGCATGCCGAAAGCTGCAAATGGTCTTTCCTGGAGGTGAAGGATTTTGAGGATTTGCCAGTGCAGAGAGAACCAGAGACTTAACATATGTATTGTAAGATGTAAGAGGAGACTGCCTGGAGGTGGACTGACCCAATGACCTGCTTATTGGGGATCCTTCTTAATTCCTCAGGAGGGAAACC